TGCTCTTCCGATCCTATGAATTATATAATGGGCAGATGTTGTGCTTACACCAGAAAAATCATCCATTGTTATAAGAAATGACCCGGTAGCATAAATGCGAAGTGTTAATAATAATTGTTCCATAGGAGGTACGGCATGATTTCTAAAAAATTTGCATAAACTTGTTTTTTAAAAGATTAAAAATTTTATCATACAGTAATTTTAACTTACCGGTTGGTTAAAAATTCTAACTCTTCTCTTATTTCTTCTAACACTAACAATACCGATTGTTTATTCAATCGGAATCGCATTTTAAAGTTTACATCATCCAATTCCTCAAAATAATTTATACGATGTTTAAATTTCCTTCTTCTTCGTTGTGGTTCTTCATAATTTTCATCGTCGGAGGATGATAACACAAAATTAAATAAATTTGCCATGTCTGAAAAATGTTAAATGCTACTTGACAGAGAATGAACGCGAAAAAAATACGTTTTTCGTATCGAGAAGCTAGTTATATTATTAACCGGATGGTTAAACTGCCGTTTAAATTGAACTCAGTTTACATAAGTTTAAACTTGAAGATGTCGTTGGTTGAAACCAATATTTTACTAAACTTTGGTTAACCAAATGTCACTAGGGATTAACTCTTTAAACCGTGTTAGTAGAAACGGGTATCAGACTGACATTGTTTAGCGAAGAGTTTGTTAATGGAACCTCAGTCATATTTATTGGCCTCAGTCATATTTATACCAATTACGTATGTCTCAGGAATGAAGCCTTCTTCCAATGAGGAGCTGAAAGGATACATTGATAAATACTGATTCTGATAAATCCGCAAAATTATTAGATCTAATAAAATCTGATAAAATTAATGGAATAAAGATTCTCACCTTGATCTTAGGTTATACGGCAGCCATACACTAGAACTAGACTCTTGCTTTTCCCCCACGTTTTACTACCTTGGGTTTACTTTCACAACTTCTTGATTTTGAGAGGTCATAAAAGTTAATCTTATGGTTGATTAAACTATCATTTTGGAACGCTATTACAAGTCGACCATGAACCGACCATAATGATTTTGGAACGACCTACAATAACATGCCGTTTTCCCTTGGCTGCACTAGTGCAACACTCAGAGCGTGCTTGGTGTAACTTTGCACTGCACCAGTTACGTGTAAGCGCTACGCTGCACTCAAATGGTACACACACACTTCATCTGTCGTGTTTATTTCATACCACGGACGCCACGGACTTAATGTTTACGACAGTAATTCTTTTTCGATAAAATAATGTCGAAAAAAATGTCAGTATATTTTAAAATTAATGAAGACAGTGTTTATATTGACCTAGATTACGAAGCTAGTAATCAGGAAGAATACGATCGGATTTTAAGTAAGTAAAATATGCGTGTATATTGGAGGTTAATTTTTATTTTTTTTAATGTACATTAATATTAAAACATTAATACAGGATCTTGCAATTGATGTGATTCTATGTAAAACGCTGTAACTTTTGTATTGAACGGATTTTATTTAGTTTGAATAATTTTAATATATCTTCCTTTTGCTTATAATTAGTCTCTTTGATAAACGGTTTACACAATGTTCGTATGATATTCTGCTAATCAAGACAGTTTCACTTTGTTTAATGCTCAGTTTTGCTCATTGATAATGTTGTGTTAATATAATACAGTGGCCGTAAAGCTTACTCACCAGACTTGATTCTACTTGACTTTTGCATATAACACTGTAGATAATTTTATTGTTTGATATTTATTAATATTTTTATTTGTATTGCTAGATGATGATTACTTTGCAGTCAACAAAATATTTTCTCTTGTTATCTCTGGACAAATTAACTGTAAAGGCAATATCATTGAAATTTTAAGAGGAAACGATTTAGACATGCTGCATAAGTATGTAATCAATGTACACTTTTTTTGGATTAAATTTTTATTGAATTTACTTTATCTTATTAATTTATATTCATACTTAAAATAAGACAAATATAATCTCTTATAATTATTATTTTGACAATCTGTTGTCGTAGTATCATGTCTTACAAATATCATAAAATATTATATTATAGGAATCCCGACCGCATTTTTGTTGACACTGATACCACCGATTCGAAAAACCAAAATCCAAACTTAAAAATTAGTGCTATTAGTCAAAAGTCGTCTTGTTCGGGAAGTGGTGAAAATAAAGGTGAGTGACAAACAATTTAACAAATTAAGAAACTACATTAATAAGACTAACAAATTAATGATTGAGTAAATAACTACAAAATATTAAAAATAATTTACTTCTTTATAGAATTTGTTTAGATATTTATGTGAAATAAATCGGATTAATAGTTAAATAAAAATAAAATAATACTGATTTTAGATTGGCAAGATGATGAGACCAAATATTTACTGGATCAAGTTTATGCTTACTTACCAGTAATAGGTCCGCAAAAAAAATTTAAAACAAAAAAAGCAATGTGGCTTAAAATTGCAGAAGAAATTTCACAGAAATTCTGCAAAATACGAACATCTGTTCAAGTTGAAAACCGCTACAAAACTATTTTGCGGAGAAAAAAGTCTGCAGTTGAAAATAATTCTCAATCTGGGAGTTCGAGGCAGGATGTACCCTTCGAGGAAGAAATGCACAAAATTGCTTCTACTGATGACAGCATAGAGCCGAATGTTGTGAGAACTGCTACGGGTATGAAGAGGTATAAAAATTCAGAAGGAGTTTCTGTAAAAATAAGTAAATCCAGCTCACCAGGGAACAGAAAAAAGACTGTAAGTAAATAATACTAATTACAAAATCTGCATTACAAAATCTTTTGTATTACTATTATTATTATTATTATTATTATTATTATTATTATTATTATTAGATATCTATCGTAGAAAAATTGGAAGAACTGCATGAGAAGACAGAAATAGCTCGAGAAAAATCGAGAAACGACATCAAGAAAAGATGGCATTGATACGCGAATTGTGGTTTGGAAGGCAGAGAAATCCTGAACAGGAGTGATAGACTAAGAAGTGACAAGCAAATATTTTTTTTTCATTTACTTTTACTTAATTTTTTTTAAAGCAAGCCATATGTTACATACGTCTACGTTCCTAAGTGTTTTACAGTTTTTTATGATCTACCAGAGGAAACCAAAGGTTTTATTAATTATTAGAAGATCTTATTTGATTTACTTTTGTTTATTTAGCTTTGTTAGAAAATTTGTAAAAGCACGTTTATTTTAAGTAACTCACATTCGTTAGATAGTTGTTTGGAAGCAAGCAATATTAAATAAGATATTCATGTACCTTAGTATTTTACAGTATTTTTTGATCAGTAAGACGAAAAAAGATTTAGTCATTAAAGAAAATGTTCAGTTTTCTTACATTTATGAAAGCACAATGTTAGTGTAAAATTGTTGTAGATTAATCGCCCAAAACCAATATATTACTTAAGATACCTGATAAGAAACTGTGATACTTGCGTATTGATATTGATGTGTGATACCTATTTTAGAGATGTTGGGAACAATAAAAACAAATGTTTATTATCGAATGTTTATTACAAAATAAAGATATTTTATTACAAGCAGTGCATTGTTCTGAATCGTTTTAATTCCCCGATATTTTTCAGTTTGTCTTCTGAATTATCTTCGTAAATATTAGTTACAAATTGCACCTCTTCATTGTCGGGAATGTCATCCCAATCCCATATATCGTTATTATCTATGCATAGATTATGCAAAACGCAACAACAGATAATTAATTTCGTGATCTTTTCGACTGAATGCATGTCTGCAATAATAGTTGACGAAACCGTGCTTTTAATATATCGAAAGCATTTTCAATAAGTATGCGAGTTTGAGAGTATTTTTTATTATATCTATTTTCCATTTCTCCTAAATCTCCATAGTCTTTCAATGGCACAAGTAGCCATTCGCGTATCGGATAAGCGGAATCGCCTAAAATGTGATACTTTTTCCCACATATTTGTGGAAGCTTCTGTTTGAGATCGCTTAATTTAAAGACTCTGGCATCGTGAACTTTTTCTGGAACTCCAGTGAACACGTCGATGAATTTTTTTTTTTAATCACATATTGCTTGCAATGTTATAGATGTCTTGTCGTGTCGATTGACGTACGTCGATGCGATTTTGTGAGCTGGTGTTCTTATGTTTATATATGAACCATCAATACAGCCTATAACACCTGGGAATCCTGCAATTTCTTGAAAAGATTTTGCTTCTTTGTCTAAATCATCTGGAAATTTTATAACTTGTCCCGCAATTTCAGTCAAATAATCCATGACTCTGTTACATCAATGAAAAACTGTTCTAATGGAGACTCCAAAAAGCGTTGCAACACACCGCAATGATTCCTTATTACTAACAAACCACAAGAATACCAGCATGTCTTCTTCGGGAGATCTTCTCTTAATTCCTCCATTTATATTTGATAGTGCATAAGATAATTGCTCATAGTTCTCGATTAATTTATAAGCTGTATCCTTGTTCAATTGGAAGTGTTTTCGAAACTGAAATTCGTAAAGCAAATATATGTATTTCAATTAATAAACAGACATACATACACACTCTCGAATAGGTTCAGTATATTTCTATTAATAGACTATAATAATATACTTTTGCTAAAAAAATTTCATTATAAATGAAAATAATGTTCATTTTCACTATTTCCATAATTTTTTTATATTCTATCAATTAAATAATATAAAATTTTTCAATACTAATTGCTCATTATTTGAATATTCCCGAACAACAGTAATAAAATTTTTTAATTTCGGGATTTTGTTTTTTGTTACGCAGAATTGCGAGCTGTAACAATTCTTCATCGTCTTCTGCTTCTTCACTTGATGAAAATAATATATCGATAAATTTCATTATTGTGCTAAAATCTTCCCGGTTGACATCCATGTTTATAATTACACTGGCTCCACACCGTCCCTTTGAAACGGTGTAGCAAAATTACATTTTGTGCATAAAACTTGCACTACCGCAACCACGGAAACACATTACACCGAATGAATTCGTCTGCCACTAGCCATGGAAACACGCTACACTGTGTAACGTCCGCCGACGGGACTACGTCGCCGAACGTTTTTCCAGCGCACACTAGATGGCGCCACCCACCCCATTTCGTACCTTTACGGTCAAAAACATTATTTTCTCATGTTTATTTCAGTATAATGATTCAAAATCACATTCATTTAGATTCAAATAAGGGGGACTTTATCCATATTAGCATTTAAAATTTAAACAATAAGATATACTAAATCGTAAAAGTAAAAGAACATATGGATACATTAAATTTTAATTGAGATAAAAGTTTCATTGATATAAAACCGGTGATTACACTTTACAATTAACTTATCCTAATCATTCATACTCTTTCCTGTATTCTGTGCCTGTTAAGTACAGCACAATTGTGCTGCCTAAGTATTATATAAACTATATAATCGTTACTCAGGTATATTTACCCTTTCAATATAACTTTTAATAAAATATATATTTGCATAGCATAATTTAAGTCGCGAGCAACTTTTAGCTTTCGTAAGAGTAAATTCAATAAAGAAACAGAAATTCATTCTATATGTTAAAATTAATAGAAGCTCTCACATTTAACTTTTATTTTATATAAATGTAACTGTATGCCGATAACCTTTTCTATCAACACTGCCTTACCACAGACACAAGCGAGACACTTCCGCTTTCAGCGACACCTCTGTTCTTTCATATACTTTCTTTCTATTTGTGTGTGTGTGTCGATCGCAGCCATTATAGTCAGTCGTTGTATCGAGCACGTGCTGAGAGCATCGTCTCTA